TATATATGTCTATCCGGTTATTCCAATTTGGTAATCAAGCATTCTATGGAGCTGAAGTTTTGCCAGTCGGTCCCCTGGCCCACGTAGCCCCAGGAAAATGGTGCCATAGCTTCTATGCTCGTCTGAGTCCAGCGTGTGTGCGGCTGGAAGTTTCGGCGGGAAAATTGTTAACTCGAGAACCAGAACAGTCAAGTCATTCTCAATTAAATAACCGCTCAACGAAATTATTCATTTTCGCTTATGCAAAATTTATGATGATTTACTGCAGTGAGTGCACAACTTAAATATAAAGCAACAACCATTTGTACAGTAAACGACCCACTGCTTAAAGTTTAGCGCAAAAACACATGACCGCACCGGCAAGCCTGATGCATTCCAGCCTGGGTCTCTTTTCATAGCTAATTGCAAGCGTTCCAGGACTAAGTTTCTTGCGTTTAAACATTTTTCGTTGATGGCTGTGATTTATCGGCCAAAAGCTTAAGTCAGAGTGCAGTAAGACAAATTGGAAAAGATATTTTATTCCAGGATGGTGACTGTTGAATGAATGATTGATCGGCTAACCAGCGAACGAAATAGTCCGAATGCCGGAGCAGTAACGACGTCATGAACGATCGAAAGATTTGTGTAATCGTAGCAAGGTCGACTCGATTAAGAACGAAAGTTATGGGAAGATAGCAACCGGATTCCCTTTCTCCGTCATATAGGCTTTAACCAGCCCCTATCGGTTGATACTTCTTTTACTGGTCAATTATACTACGATGGGAGGAGTTTTTTTTGCGGTATATAAGCTTTAAAATTTAGTACTGCAGTCGTCATCCTTCATTCTAAACATTCTCACCGTTTTGGCCAAAAAAAGGTGTTGACGATTCAACGTTTCATTCACCTCTTATTGCTAATTTCACTACCTGCTTGAAATTCTTTTCTTCGTCCACCAAATTTCCGAGGAAGACATCCCCCAAAATATATCGACTCTAAGCAATTGTTTGCAGAAAATAGAAATTGAATAGTCTCATAATTCAAACTCTCTCCTTTTTTTTCTCTTTTGATTTGACTTAGGCAGAGGCTTGTGTTTGCAGCTTCAGCTTGTAAAAACAAGCTGCCGTTGGTCCAACCTCAGAATCAATTTGAATTTGTCGGCTTTGATAGCTTGCCTTAGGCGCAAAACCGAAACTGCTACAGAAATCAGCATCCTTATGAAAAAGCATTTCCTGGTAAATATTGCTTTCCCCGTTTCACCACATAGAAATTGTAGTCTCGGAAGTATGAAAATCCTGATTTGGTTGAAGTGTTGCTTACCAAGAAACGCAGTTGATGTAACACAGATAATGCAAAACAGCTATTTCTGCATAAGGCAGTTTAAGTAAGTCACCGTCCGACCGCAGTTCTCAACTTTTGAATTAAGTTAAAAGTTACAAGGAAACAACAACATTCTTATGTAGCAAAAAAGAGTTTCCACATAGGTACGAGAGAAAATAAACTGATGCGGAAAAAATCATTTGAATAAAAAACGGGGACGCTTATTCCACGACCCAGTAATTTCATCTTAGCCTAGGAAAGAACTGTTTTCAGTGCGGTAAAATCGAAATCACAATGGATATTTGTGCACTCGGCGTTCTTTTCCTCTGCGCTAGTATTCGAATTAGCAGAGCATGTCTTTCTTCCGGAGTCTGTGCTGGTTTTGGATGCACGCCACCAGCAGCACCTGCTTGTTTTGATGGATGTGCTCCAGGCTATGCATGTGGGCAGTTTGGTTGCTATTCGCGAGCACGTGCTCGATCTTCAAAAACATTCAAATATGCTGTTTCTGACCATGAAGGCTCACAGAGAGTAGCTTCGGTCATCAAGGTATTCTCACTTTCAGTAACCATTCGATGACCATTTGTCTAGTTGCAGAAATGATAGGGAATATTGGTGAGTGCAAGCCACAGCAACATTGATAACTTACTATTTTATGTAGTGGTTTGCTGGTAACCACTGCGAATTTTATTTTTTTGCAATATTTTTGAAGCATTCAGGATGCTCTCTTCATTTTCGTCCCTGAAAGAAATTTCCCTTGAATACTAGTGAATACCGCAAAATGAAGATGATATGGTGCACCTACTTGTGTGAAAATCACACATCAGACGCTACCGCTGTTTTATTTCAGCAGCAAGGAATGCAAGTAGACGAGGCATCCGATCAGCGATTTTACGATTGCTGTGTGGATCGGCGTCTTCCTGACGCATGCTTGCAAAAGTGTTCCTACAGTACCTATACAAGGAGCGCCCTGCAGGTCTTCTTTCCACTTTCACTTGTTTTCGTGAAGGCCACACAACAGTGAATTAAGTCCACCCGTTCACAGTTTAAACATCACCGACTTTCAAGCCAGTTTTCTCACCCACATGAAAAGCGCTGTCATGCACAAGTTGTACGGCTAAAATTTCTATCACCATGGAGGCGATGAAGAATCTACCGGCATATGAAATAATATTCTTCGCAGTGATCCTCCTAAATATGCTTGATAAGAATGC